CTCAAAAGACAGATATGTGACTGCAGCACTGCCATCAAATCAACCTCCAAATAATGTTGTAAATTTTTTCAAAGAGAATAACAAGAGGGGAAACTGGTATCTGACCATAATTACTATTAACTCTCAATTATCTACACTAATTTGGATGAAAAAGGTATAATGTTAAACAAAGGAGGGTATCAAATGTAAAAATTGGTTATTACCTACACATGTTAAGACACACCTTAATTCAATTATCTAGTACTCTGACACTGAAAGTTCAGTCCCATCACTTATCTAACCCATCATATAAATTAGAGAAAGAAAGGGGCCTGGTTCTCTGTAACTTATTCATGGATACTGAAAAGTTGACTGGACTTTTATATAATATTTTAACATACCTAAAGATTTGACTTTATACACAAGTTGAAGATTTCTCTTTAGTAAAAAACTATAATATCTGTATTGCTAATATAACACATCTATTACTTTTTCTATAACTATTATTACAGAATAAATGTTTCATTTCCAAATCATGTTTTCTTTTCAATACAGTCTCACTGTCACCCAGGCTGGGATGCAGTGTTACAATCATGGCTCACTGTAACCTCAAACTCTCAAGCTCAATCCTCCTATTTCAGTCTCCCAAGTAGCTGGAACCACAGGTGTGTGCTACCACACCCAGCTATTTCTTTTTTTAAGAGATGAGGTCTCACTTTGTTGCCCAGGCTGGTTTCGCATCCCTGGGCTCAAGCAATCTACCCACCTCAGCCTTCTGAAGTGCTGGGATTGCAGGCATGAGTGACAGTGCCCAGCATCCAAATCACTTTAAGGAGCCAACTTTTTAGTTATATATATTATCCTCTTAGTGTAACAGTTGTCATGTTTTATGATGGAAAAAATGTGTATCAAAATTGAAGATATTAAATTATAAAAACATTTCCCAGAATCCTTTTAAAATAAAGATTTGACTTTATATACAAGTTGAAGATTTCTCTTTAGTAAAAAACTATAGTATTTGTATTGTTAATATAACACATCTATTTCTTTTTCTACAACTATTATTTGAGTAGGAATAAATGGATTCATTGAGTTTGCTCTTAAAACTTCAGTCTGCAGATCATTTCAGCATACATGATCCAATTAACTACTAAAAAACAAAATAACAAAAAAAAAACCTCTCTTAAGATAGCATAATTAAACCCTGCCACTCTTAATTTCTTCATCTTGTCATTTCTTGATATGAAAAAGAAAGGCTTCTTGGGTGGTAATGGCAAAAAGGAGCCCACAGAGTCAAGAAATACCAGGCTTTTGGATCATTCTTTATCATGGCCTCCTTTGTCTCAGTTGAGAACCAGCATGAAATCTCATCGCCTCTCCAGCTCAAATAAATTTTTAGTAAAAAAGTAACTCACAGTATCATTACTCTTTACTGTTTTACTCTTTTTATCCTGTGTTGACTTAGAACTTTTCCCGGATACCTAGAACTTACATCCTAATCTAAGTACTATCACACTTTGAAAACCTTTGTCTTCTACTGTTAGGTACATGACTAAGATTTGTTTTTACAGTCAGTGATGCCTATATTACACTTGTTTTAAGAGTACACCAGAAGAAAGAATATCACTCTGATAATAAGGAAGTCTGGATCCTGGTCCTAGCTCTGCCATTAATTAGCTGTGTGTTCTTAAGGAAGTCATTCAACCTCTCTGAGCCACCGTTTCTCCATTTAAATAAAGTAAGTCCCTTTCAATGCTAACAATCTTAATTTTATTAAGGAAACACTGGCTGAAAGCCTCGAGATTTCATTTATGACAAAAAGTCCCTGCCAAGAGAAAACAAAAATCGCTACAATTTTTCTCTACAGTTCAAATTACATTTTGACCCCTTCCTCAACTCTACCCGAGAAGCACTGATCATTGTAGAAAAACATGCAACAGGAAGACAATTAAGTCAAACACTGTTTAATCTCATTCCTTAGTGTTTTCCAGTTACTGACACTCACATCTCAGCAGTTCTTATAACTTCTCTGGGTAAGTGGTTTTTGGTGATAATCTACCTGGAACTGCCTTCCAATTTAATAGCTACCTTTTGAACCACATGACCCTTCTTTTCTCTTACCTGACCTCATAAACATAGTAAATTCTGATCATCAGTAACCAGTTCTGCCCCTACCATTTACTGACAATGCTACTTTTAATCCTTACAAAACCCCTAAAAGGTAGATATTATCCTTCATTTTAAAAATGAAGATACAGACTTAGAGAGATTAAGTAACAATTAAGGTCACACAACAATTACAGGATAATACCTTGACTTGAACCCATATCTTTCTCACTTAGAAACCTCTTCCCATCAGGTAGTTTTAAAAAATATTAAAGCAATATATAATTCAACCTCCCTCTGATAATTCAAAACAGTTTCAAAATGGATAGAATATTTTTTTCCTTAACACAGGAGAGAAGGAAGTAAATATGAATAATGATATAGGTATGTCTGGAAGGGAAAGAAGCTGAAGAAGTTCATGGTTGATGACCTCTATTAATGTAGAAAATGAAAAATCTAGAATGCCAAATAATAAAATTTGTATTATTTTAAGGCCACATCTTTAAAAGTATTAACTCTGGTTAACTAGCTCCCATTTGTCTTAATTTCTTAGACTTCATTATATTCTAAATTTAGGCAAAGTCTATAAAAATGATTTCCCCCCAATTTTTATCTTAAATCTATAGGAAAGTTGAGAGAATATTAAAAATCATACACACGTATGCCTTTTACCTAGATTAACCCACTGTTACCATTTTGCCACAAATTGCTAAATCTTTCTCTTCGCAAATTTTTGCTGAAAGTAACCTACAGATATGAAAATTCTCTAAATAATGTAGCCTGCATCTTCCAGGAATAAGGATTTTTTCCTACATAATCATAATAGCTATTGCATTTGGTAAAATAAACAATTCCTTAATATCATTTAATACATAGTCCAAATTCAATCCCCCAATATTCTAAACAATATCTTTTTAGTTTTGATCAGTATCTAATCAAGGTTAACAAGGTAGACTTGAAGTTATATACCTTTTAATCTAAGACTATCCAGTTATTTTTGTTTGCTTGTTTTGAATTTTGTTTCCCATAACGAAGAGTCCAAGCCAATTATCTTTCAGAATGTCTCACACATACAGTGCCTGATTATTATCTTGAGATTAGATTCAAGTTAAACATTTTGGGTAAGAATACTACATCATCTTTCAGAATGTCTCACATGTGGAATATCTGATTATTTTCTTATTATTAGACTCAAAAATTTTTGATAAGACTACTATGTAAATGATACTGTAGACTTCTTATCATGTCAGATCAAGAGGCACATAAAGTTGAGTTATCCTACTATTGGAGAGCTGTTTGATCGCTTTATTAAAGTAGTACATATCAGATAGCTGTTATGAAGGCATGTTTTTTCCTTTATAATTATTCAGTAATCTATTGAGTGATATTTTTGAAATCACATAAATATCCTATACTCCAACAATCTTAAACTCAATGGTTTTAGCATTCATTGACAATCCTTGCCTGAATCAATTATTTTGCTGTGGTTGCAAAATGGCTCTTTTCCTCATTGTACAATTAAAACGGGTAAACTTTATGGTATGTAAATTATGTCTCAAAAAACTGTTTTGAAAAAATTAACTCAGCAACTTATAGACTGCATAGGGTCCATCTTCTGCTAGTGTCTTTTTCTGCCAAGAAATGACAGTTTGAACATTTTAAAAATGAGGGTGTTCAAGATGAGAGTGAGCTTAATAAAAGGGTTCTATTGAAAGTTTTTTTAACCTTACTTTTCTAATTTTATCATTCCTTCTTTTAATAATTAGCTGGCATGCTTCTGTAAAGACTTTCCCGTGTACCTCCCCTTTTTTTTTTTTTTTTTTTAGAATATCATTATAGATGCATGGGCTTTTCTTTTCCCTCAATCTATTATAATCTACTACTATTGCTATTCTTTTTGATGTTCAAACCATCCTAATGTGGCCAGTGGGAGTCCCATCAAGCACAATCTTGTGCCCTGATACAACCTTATTAGTCACTGAACAATGATTGCTTTCTTGCACAAGAAATCCCAAGCTCACTCTGTACTTTCTCAGCCTGAGGCATGAGATTAGACACTTCCCCAGGAAGACTTGGTTCATTCTAGAATGGCATTTAAAAGAAACCAAGATCTCAGTTCTGGGTGTGCTCATTGCTACTGGAGTGCATCTGTCATAGCTTCTAGGCCCTTTCTGTGTATAGAATAAAGGAGCAGGAATTCATTACTGGTATCTTAAATTCAAATTTATAATGCAAATATAAAAGAAGAGGAAAAATAACTTGTATCTCTTTGACTTTCAATGAAAATATTGACTTCTATTGTCCCTAACATGCTTTGCTTTATTTCGCAATATATATCAAATGGTAGTAATATTGGTATTATAATTCTGAAACTAATAATAGACCTATTAAGAAAGATTAAAATTTCTTTGCAGTTCCTTATATCCTTAAGATGACATCCTAGAAGGATGCATCATCAAGAATACTATGTTCAAAAGTTATCTGAACTAGGAGATTGTTATAAATTAGTTACATAGGTTTGTTTGTTTTCAGTATGTATTCAACTTTAGCATTTGTCTTCCTTCTCATTAATTTTTACTTAATTCTAATTTTTTGGTATGTAAAACATTTATATGGCCCTCAGGTCAAAACTGTATAAAAAGGCATATTCATAGAAGTCTTGCTCCTATTCTAGTTCTATGTACCCTATTCCTATCCATCCTCTATTTTCATTAATTTCTAGTTTATCCCATATGTATTTCATTGAAAAAAATAAGGAACTACAGTGTTTCAGAACTAAAATAGACATACTATGAGTCAAACAACATCCATACAACAGCTTTTATATGAGTTTGTTCATGGAGAACACAACCTGACACATATCACGTTTTCTATTTGCAATAAATACAGAGAGTGGCATACAAGCAAACTCTCACCTGAATTCCGATCAATCCACTGCAGAGAGTCCATATGGGCATTCAGAATTCTGCAGATCTGCTGGAGCTAAAAACACATATAAGACTTTTAGATTGTGATTATTCTGAGGTGGTAAATAAAAAATAAACATAAGAAATTGACATTAGGAAGTGGCTTTTAATTTCTTATGGTAAGAAATCAACTGAGAATTACTAGATACTAATTTTTTTTTTTTTGCTAATTCATATTTGCAATGTTCATTATCTTTATGTATTGGTTCAATTTAATTATTTTGTAACTACCAGGAATTGGATATCTATAATTCAATAAAAAACTGACTACCACAGTATAAAGAACATTAAGAAATATTTTACAAGACAATGAAGTCATATAAAAAATTAAAAATAGCACCATTTGTCAACCAAATCAGTAATTTTAAAAAAATAGTCATACTCAGTTATCGAGCATGTGGGAAAATAGGTACAATTCATATATAGCCAAAAGTAATATAAATTGATTCAACCTTTCAAAATGTAAATTTTTATGATACATATCAAAACCTTTAAAACATTCATACCTTTTGACTCAGTCAGTATATTCTATTTCCAGGAACCTATCCGGAGTAGATAATCAAATCTAAATAAGTGGTGATTACTGGACTATTTTATATGGGCCAAAGATTGGAAACAGTATCTCTACCAATTAAAAAATGATTAAATATATTAAAGTCACCCTGATAAAATATTATAGCACCATTAAAACTCATGTTTTCAAAGAATAGTTAAAATTTTTGAGAAAGGCCATGAATGAATATTAAGTAAAGACAGAATACAAAAAGTTATATAGTTTCCAGTACTCTTTAAAACAAAAGAAATATTCTTAGCAGCCAAGCAAAAAAGGCTAGAAAGAACTACGCAGTATATTATCAGGGTACTGGTAATACAGATGACTTAATTTTCCTTATGGATTTTTATAAGGAAATGTGACTGAATAACACAGTGCATAATATGATCTTGCTTAATAAAAATTTTAGACATTAGGTGGTCTTTCCCATTGCCCCTCACCAAAAAAGGGGGAATAAAAACAGATAAATCTCATCACCGTGAATACTGGAATATACAGCTTCTATTTTTCTACCCTGGTATATAACCCAGAGTAATAAAGTTTTGCTGATCTGGTTACAATAAATTATCTACAGGTATATTATTGTTCAGAAAATGTTTTTCCCATTTCTTGTCCAAGGATTTATGCTATCTGCAAAAAGAGCTGTCACTGATTTCTTCCTTTTTGTATTCTGCAATCAAACAGCAATTACCCTTTAACTGACTCATCTTAAACATCCCAATCACCCCTGCCAAGAAAAGAAAAAGACTCAAACCATTTACTACCCAGTACTAAAATAAAATAAAACAATCCAGGGCTAAGTAGAGAAAATGGACAACAGAATTATAATTTCCTTTTACTAACTTGGTTGTGAACACTCCACTTATATTAATTCAACACAAAGAAACTAGAAACCAGCTCTGCTGCATGTCTAAATCTGCATATATTTACCTATGCATCAAAATATTACAACAGAACAGTTTTGAATTTTGGAATTACAATGGTAATCTAGTATTTCATTAAGAGAAAATCAGTATTTTGTAAACTCTTGATCATCTGTGTGAACACAGGGACATGGTAGCATGAATAATTCCAAACTAATTTATATTTGTCTTTGTTCAACTTTAGATTCACCCAAAGTAGAGAATGGCATAATTTTTATAGCTGGAAGGGACTTAAAGATCATTTAGTCTATCCTTGACATTTTGCGAAAGGAGCCAAGACCCAGAGAGACTAAATGACTTAAACAAAATACTAATACTTCCTCAGCTATAACATGCCGTATCTTTATAATTTAAAAAAAGGTAATATGTATGTAGATAAAGAACTGTCTGTATATAACTGAACAAAGAGCTTACTAAAGAATGATCGCCACTTATGTATATGTCATTCATCTTCACCTACCCAGAACCTGGCCTCATTCCTAATTATAATTAACTGATAGAAAGCACAATGGGAACTCCCACAATGGGAGATCCCTCTTACTATTACTGCCACAGAGTGGGAGTGGGAAAAGGAGGATTCCATTTAGCTGCTAAGACAATAGGGAAAGGTAAAGGAAATCAGCTCTTTAATTAGAGTATAGAAAAAGGAAAAAACAATTCTTTCTTATTGCCAAATTAATTCACAGCACCTTAACTCTAATTGGAGCCTCAGCTTTATCTTCCACTGATATAATACATTTATTATAAGCTAAATAGTATTCTATGGGGTAGATGAAAATCTAATAACCATATTTCACTAAGTTTCTGTAGGAAAATGTAAAGTCTCAAATGGTCAACCTAACAAATGTTAAAATGCAATCTGATAAATCAAGGATTGCCTGGTTATGTCTAACAGACACAAGCATACCTACTAACATGTATATGAGTATGTAAACAAATATGTAAAAAGAAGAATGAACTGGTTAATAAGTGAATAGAAAAATAAACACAGGTACATACTTACTTATGTGAAGAATAAGGGAGAAAACCCTGACAACTTAGGGAAGAGTAATATTTTCACCTTCCTGGGAATAACCACAAAAAACTCACAACCTTTTTTGCCTCTAAATGTTTCCTGCTCCACTAACTACACCCAAGGGGCTTCATATCTCTAGAGGCAGGTAAGAAACCCTATAGAAGATGGAAGAAGGGGACTAGTTTAAAGGAGCCACAGAATGCTAATTTCTTTTTAGAGACAGGATCTCACTCTGTCACCCAGGCTGGAGCACAGTGATGCAAGCATAGCTCACTGCAGCTTTTAACTCCTGGGCTCAAGTGATCCTCTCACCTCAGCCTCCAGAGTAGGTAGGACTACAGATATGTACCACCATGCCCAGATAGATTTCTTCATTTTCTATAGAGACAGGATCTCACTATGTTGCCCAGGCGGGCCTCAATCTCTTGGTCTAAAGCAATCCTCTTGCCTCAGCCTCCCAAAGTGCTGGGATTATAGGCATAAACCACCATACCGGGCTGAAATACCAATTTCATACTAAATCTTGGTTGTCTAAGTACACAAAGCAGTAAACACACCGGATCAGTAGTGTCAGCAGAAATTCCAAATGTATTCAGGTGATTAACAACGTCCTTCAGATCTTGGGACATTTGTTTCAGCTGAGCATCTATACTTTCGGCTAATCTGTAACTGAAAAAGCAAGTGAAATAAAGGGATTAACAAAAAGTGTTTTCTCCACTACCTTGTTATTGACATATAAACATGACACTGCCGATTGGATTTGCCCCAACTCCCCTATCTTTTCAGTGGATCTCAGTTATGACCAATGGTATATTTTCATGGATGCAGCATTTGTGACCTTATTATTACCATAGTCTAAAAAAACTCCAAATGAGAAGGCTTTTATCTACCTTGCCATTTTTACCATCACCTATTCATCCTCTAGGTGAATGCTGTGGGGATCTGTAGAGCAAAGGAATCCTTTAAGGTGTCAAAATACATCTATAGGACATTCACATATGGAAGGGAAGTTATTTAGGGTTTGGCAATATTCAATAAATGCTGAGATGTCTTCAATGATTTTGAATACACAAATTTTCAAAATAGAACCTCATATAAATATACTCCATCAGGCAAAAAAAGATGTTTTGAGAATAAGCTTCACAATAATCAAAGAAAGACAAATCAGTTAAGTTCAGTTACTTAAATTCTCAAGATTTCTACCCAAACTACACACACAAACACACATGTACACACGACCCAGTCAATAAATATGTTTATGAGAATTAAAGTGGCCAGAGGATTTTTCAATCTTAATGTGTATAAAAATTAAAAGAGTCAATTAGATTTGTGCTAACTACTGCCTTTCTATGGCATAGTACTTATGCCATAGAATTAGTTGCCTAAATGGTTGAAGATTCTGGTGAATATTTCATCACAATATAAATCTGGGCCGGGCACAGTGGCTCACGCCTGAAATCCCAGCACTTTGAGAGGCTGAGGAGAGTGGATCACGAGGTCAAGAGTTCGAGACCAGCTTGGCCAACATGGTGAAACTCCATCTCTACTAAAAATACAAAATATTAGCCAGGTGTGGTGGTATGCACCTGTAATCCCAGCTACTCAGGAGGCTGAAGCAGGAGAATTGCCTGAACCCAGGAGGCGGAGGTTGCAGTGAGCCGAGATCGCGCCATTGCACTCCAGTCTGGGTAACAAGAGCAAAACTCCGCCTCAAAAAAAAAAAGAATAAATTTGACAAAGACAAAAACGTTACAATGAACATGCATAAGGGTGAAAGTAATAACAGTATACAGAATGCTATAAAATGAAATTGCCAGAATTATTTCATCATTTACAAGCATCTAGAAAAGATCAGCAGAAAACAGTCAAACAAATTGATAAATGTCAACTACAAAAGCTTGTCCTTTTCTACCGATTTGTATTTCTTGCCTTCCGATTTAACCTTTCCCCTCTGTTCCTGGAATGTTCTCATAATGCATAAGTCCTGTCCCATTCTTAGATCTTTATTCAGTTACTTACGTCTCCACACGCTCCTCATCTGCATGCTGCAGATAATGAAGTCCACTCTGGTCACTCATAGACTCCTCTAAATAAGTCAACAGAAATTCTAGTTCCTGCTGCTGTGACAGGATAAAATCCAATTCTTGTTCCAACCTGAATAAAATAAGTTAATAAAAGGGCTGATGAAAGGAATTTGGAGGGACAAAAAAAAAGTTAACAAACTACAGAAGGAAAAAAACACTGAATAAAAAAATGGTCTTTAATCTTTCAACCTGGGAAATCTAAGTTTCTACCTTTTCTGATCCAGTTTCACTTTGTTCACTTCTCCATGTAAAATACAATCTATAAAGAGAAATAAGAATACAATAATATAAACATTTAAATTTACATAAATATTTTAGAGCAGTATTAATTTTCTCACACATACTTCAAATATGAAAAATTTCCTTTCACTCAGGGTATTTATTACCTGAGGAATACATTTTGAGCTGCCCACCAATATTGTAACAGAAAATTAACCACAGGGCTGGGTATGGTGGCTCATGCCTATAATCCTAGCACTTTGGGAGGCTAAGGCAGGAGGATCACTTGAGCCTAGGAGTTTGATACCAGACTAGGCAATACAGTAAGATCCAATCTCTACTAAAACACATACACAATTAGCTAGGGGTGCTGGTGTGACCCTGTGGTCCCAGCTACTTGGGAAGCTGAAGTGGGAGGATTGCTTGAATCAGGCAGATTGAGACTGTAGTAAGCTGTGATTGCACCACTGTGCTCCAGCCTAGGTGATAGAGCAAGACTCTGTCTCGAAAAACAAAAACATAAACAAAACAACAACAAAGAAAACCACAAAACACAGGTCTATTCTCTTGTGTTCATCTGTAAATACTTGTACAATGTAGGTAGATTAATGAAAATATCTTCTTACCATCTCACCATTTTCAATCAATGTACGGTCCCAAGCATTGACCTGAGTGGCCTGGAGAAGAAAGCACTTCTCTTGATCTTCCAGCTCAAGGTTCCACTCATTTACAAGACCCTCCAGTTGACCATATGTCATCACAGGAGTTGGTACTACACTAAAACATAAAAGGATGCAGGATGATCCAATAATCATACTTTAAAAAGTGTGATCAGATTTTAAGAACAAACACAGGAGGACTCTGAGAAGAAAACAGCATGTAAGGAGTTTCTCATACCTGCTCCCAAAGAAAACAACCATAACTGGTAAAGATGATTAAAAAAAAAAAAACCTTAAAGTCACTTGAAATTATCCTAGGGGAATATGGTAAATAAAGATTTATTAAGAAAACTACTAAATCATAGCAAGAAGAGCTAAAGTCTGTGCCATAATCTACTCCTTCTCTTCCCCTCATTGCAGTTCAGCATAACAGAAGCTCCTGCGTGGCTAAGCATAGCTAAGGAGATAGGATTCTCTCTCCCCTAGCTCTTAGTCAAAGTGACCCATTCCCTGTCTGAGTAGTATCCACTAGAGAGTGGGCATTCCCCACTGGGCAGAACCATGCAGAACTCCCAATTCCCCTGCCAAGTGATAACAAAAAAGGCTCAGCAACTAGCTGATCTTTGATCCCTTGACCCACAGAGCCAGTCAATGCTGATTCCTCTGCTGGGGCAGTGTTAGCAGGGCTCAGTGGGAAGGTAATCATTAATTCCCTACCTGGCAGACACAGGCACAGTTCCAATTCCTCTATCAGGGCTCTTTCTGTGGGATCCAATGACAAGCTGAACCTAAATCCCTACCTAGTAGCAACAAGGCTCAATGAGGTAGAGTCAGGCAGGGTTAGTCACCATTAGGCTTCACCTCTTGCCTCTGGGTGTCAGAGACACCCAGTGGGGAACTGGATCTCTATACCCATCCAGCATCATTACAACTGAACAAGGGAATTCAAGTTAGGGGTTGCAGGGATCCCACTCCTACCACCCATGGGGTCAGCAATACTCAATGAGGAGCTTGACCTCCACATCCACTGGCAAAGCCAAGACTAAATGAGGTAGAGCAAAGGATGCCTAGTCAGTACTTTGTCCCCTTTCTCCCACGAGCCTGTGTCAGTTGGGCCCGGTAGAGAGATAAGCCTCCATACCAACCAAGGAGGCTGAAAGAAGTGATATGAGGCATAGTAGTTGACATCCTGCTTCTTCCCTCCCTTGTATCAGTGGGCCAACAGGAAGCTGAAATTCTGCCTCCACCTGCAGCAAATAAGCAGTATGAGTCAGCACTCCACTTCCCCTTGATCTGGGGGCTCCAGGGCCCAGCCAGGAGCTGAACCTGGCAATAAAGTCGTAGCATGCTGTGTTCACCTTTCATGAGGGATGAGTCAGTGGGGCTAAGCAGGGAGCAGAGTTTCCATACCATCCATCTTCATTAAGACAGCATGAATAAGTGCTCCACTTTTGCTGGAGTAGTGTGGGTAACATCCAGGGGGAAGCTGAACATACAAACACACCCACCCCTTGTACTACATGTCAATAAAGAGATGCTTGATGAAAAAAAAAGATGGAAATAGGACCTAAACTTTCCTAACATAATAGACAAAATGTCCAGGATAAAATTTTAAATATTACCCATCATATGAAAACCCAGAAAACCCACAACTTGAAAGAGGAAAGACAATCAATAGGTGCCACCACTGAGAAGTATCAGATATTGGAATTAGCTGAAAAGAACTTTAAAGCTACCATAAAAAAAAAGCCTCAAACAAGCCATTTCAAATTTTCTTTAAACAAATGAAAAAATAGAAAATCTCAGCAAAGAAATAGAAATTATGAAAAACAACCAAATGAAAAATATAGAACTGAAAAGTAAAATAACCAAAATAATAGGCATACCTAAGGAGTTTTATAAGAGAATGAAGTCAACAGAGGACAGAATCAGAACACTTGATGACAAATAGCATTTACAGAAAAACAAAGAAAAAATTCGCAGAAGCAAATGAAAAAAAAGTCTCAAGGACTTGGAGGACAATAATAAAAGAGGTAACATTTGTATAATAATAGTATCAGAAAGAGAGGAAAGAGAGAATGGGACTAAAAAAGTCTTCAAAAAAATAAAGATTGAAAACTCTCAAAATTCGTCAAAAGATACAAACTCATAGATTCAAGAAGCTGGACAAACCCCAAACAGAATAACTTAAATCTATGCTAAGACACAAAATAATTAAACTTCTGAAAACTACAGACAAAGAAAAAAATCTTGAAAGCAACCAGAAAGAAAAAATGCATTACTTAAAAGGGAATATCAGTTTAGATGACAGCAGATTTCCCATCTAAAACCATGGAGGCTAGAATAAATTAACACAACATTCTTCAAGAACTGAATAAAAAAAAAACTGTCAACAATGACTTCTGTATCTTGTGAAAATGTCCTTCAGAAATGAAGGGGGAGATAAAGGTATTCTCACACAAAGTCAAATCAAGATTCTCAGCAAACTGACACAAGAACAGAAAACCAAACACCGCATGTTCTCACTCATAGGTGAGTGTTGAACAATGAGAACACATGGACACAGGGAGGGGAGCATCACACGCTGGGGTCCGTTGGGGGGAAATAGGGGAGGGACAGTGGAGGGTGGAGAGTTGGGGAGAGATAGCATGGGGAGAAAATGCCAGATATAGGTGATGGAGAGGAAGGCAGCAAATCACACTGCCATGTGTGTACCTATGCAACAATCTTGCATGTTCTTCACATGTACCCCACAACCTAAATTGCAATTTAAAAAAAAAAAATTGAAATACAAGCAACTCTGTAACAACAACAACAAAAAGATCATTCATTGCTAGCACACCTACCCTTGAAGATTAGTTAAACAGAAAGGAAATGAAAACAGAAGACTTCAAACATCATATAAAGCAGCGATCCCCAACCTTTTTGGCATGAGGAACTGGTTTTGTGGGAGACAATTTTTCCACAGACAGTGGGAGGGGCCTGGGGGAGAATCATCAGGCATTAGATTCTCATAAGAAGCACACAATCTAGATGCCTTGCGTGTGCAGTTTACTATAGGATTCGTGCTTCTATGAGAGTCTAGTATCTGACCTGACAGGAGGCTGAGCTCAGGCAGTAATAATGCATGCTTACCTGCTGCTCACCTCTTGCTGTGTGGTCAGGTTCCTAACAGGCTACAAATCAGTACTGGTCTTTGGCCCAGGGGTCAAGGACCCCTGATATAAAGGAAGGATTATCAAATGGGTATAGACAGGAGTAAATATACTATTCTACTTCTCGTGCGTTTCTTAAATTATTTGATGGCTGAAGTAAAAATTATAACCCCATGTGATGTGATAGTCAATTACACAGAAGAAATGGCTGAGATAACCATACTTAAAAGCTAAGAAGGGCAAAAGGAATTAAATGGAATTAAGGTTTTTACACTTCACCCAAAGTGGTAAAACGTTGGTATGGCTACACTGCTGTAAGTAATGCATGTATCTGTAATACCTAGAGCAATCAGTAATAAAGCTATACAAAATACTGTATTTAAAAACACTATAAACAGAACAAGATTACCCCCCCCCCAATATTCAAACCACCTACAGAAGGGTTAAAAAAAAAAGAGAAGAACAAAAATTAAAGGCAACAAACAAATAAAATGGCAGAATAATTACCTTAAATATAAATGTGCTAAATATACCAATTAAAATACAGAGACTGGAAGAGTGAATAAAAAATGAACAATATACTGTTTATAAGAAATTCACTTCAAATACAAGGATATATTAATAGATCATTTGAAAGTAAAAGAATGAAAAGAATGTAGCATGCAAGGTTCATTTCTGAAAAAGAAATAGTGGCTAGACGCAGTGGCTTACGCTTGTAATCCTAGGCGTGATTTTTGGAGGCCTCCTTTGCAAGGCCGAGGTGGGTGGATCATGAGGTCAAGAGATCAAGACCATCTTGGCCAATATGGTGAAACCCCATCTCTACTAAAAAATACAAAAATTTGCTGGGCATGGTGACGCATGCCTGCAGTCCCAGCTACTCAGGAGGCTGAGACAGGAGAATTGCTTGAACCCGGCAGGCAGAGGTTGCAGTGAGCTGAGATTGCACCACTGCACTCCAGCCTGCCGACAGAGGGAGACTCTGTCTCAAAAAAAAAAAAAAAAAAAAAAAAAAAAAGAAAAGAAAAGAAAGAAAGAAATAGCTATATTAATATCAGATAAAGTGATAAAGTGGAGTACAGAGCAAAGAAAATTACTAGAACCAAAGAGAGACATTACACAGTGATAAAGGAATCAAGGCACCAGGAAGGCTAACAATCCTAAATGTGTAAGCAAGCAAACAAGAAAGCCTCAAAATACATAAAATAAAAACTGATAGAGCTAAAGGGAGAAATAGATAAATCCATAATTAAAGGCAGGAACTTCAAAAAGCCACTCTCCACAACTGAAAAATCTACTAGACAGACTCCAATAATACAGAATCTGAAATTACAGTGAAGCAATAGTATCTAATTTACATAAGTAGAACTTTCCACCCTACGGCAGAAAACACAATTTTCAAATGTCCATGGAACATTCATCAAGACAGACTGTATCCTCACCCACAAAACAAATCTAAATAAATATAAAAGAACTGAAATCATAGAAAGCATATTCTGACATCACAATGGCATCAAACTAGAGATCAATACAGAAAAAAACAACAACATCATCTCCAAACACTTGGATATTAAACAACACACTTTTAAATAATAAATTAGTCAGAGGAATTCACAAAGGAAGCTTAAAAAGTATACAGAGCTGAATGAAATCACAACATAAGATAATATGTAGGTCACAGTTAAGCAAGTATTGAGTGGGATATTTATAGCAATAAATGTGTACTTTGGAAAAAGTCTCAAATCAACAGTCTGAGTTCACACATCAACAAACTGGAAAAAGAGTAAAATGAACCCAGTGCAACCAGAAGGAAGGAAATAATAGATATCGGTGAAATTGAAAACATGAAAAGAATAGAGACTAATCAATTAAACAAAAGCTGGCTCTTTGGGAAAAGATCATTAAAATTGATAAAAGAAAGACACAAACTACTAATACCAGAAATGAAACAGAATATCCCTACAACCATTAAAAGGACAATAATGGAATATGAACAATTTTATACTCATACATTTAACAACATAAAAAATGAACCAATTCTTTAAAAACCATACATTCATCAAAGATGAACTAGATAACCTGAATAGTTCTAGAACCATTAAATAAATTGATTTGTAATTTAAAAGCCCCTTTAGCCTAAAAGCCCCTTTAGCCAGGCATGGTGGCTCATGCCTATAATCCCAGCACTTTGGGAGGCCGAGGCGGGCAGATCACTTGAGGTCAGGAGTTCGAGTCCAGCCTCGCCAACATGGTGAAACCTGCCTCTACTAAAAATATAAAAATTAGCCAGATGTGGTGGTGGGCACCTGTAATCTCAACTACTCAGGAGGCCTCAGCTGAGGCAGCAGAATCACTTGAACCTGGGAGGTGGAGGATGCAGTGAGCTAAGATCTCAACACTGTACTTCAGCCTAGGAGACAAAGTGAGACTCCTTCCCAATAAATAAATAAATAAATGCCCCTTTAAAAGAAAGACACAAACCCAGAAGGTTTCACTAGAGAATTCTGCCAACATTTTATGAATTTACACAAATTTTACATTATTTCTTTTAGAAAACAGAAAACAGAATGCTTTCCAGATCATTTTTATAGAGCCAGTATTACCCTGATATCAAAACTAGAGACATAAAAAAAGAAGAAAACTACAGACTATTAGCTCTCATGAACTTAGATACAGAAGTCCTTATAGTACCAGGAAACCAAATTTTAAAAAATGTATCAAAAATTATACACCATGATCAAGTGGGATTTATTTCTCATATGCAGGGCTGGTTGAACATCTGAAAATCAATCAGTGTAATCCACCACTTCACCAAGATAAAGAAAAAAATCTTAAAAGACTGCATCAATTGAGGCTGAGAAAGCATTTGACACAAATTGATTTTTGACAAAGGTGCAAAAGCAATTCAGGGGGAAGACAGCCTTTCAATAAATGATGCTGGAAAAACTCGACATCCACAGACAAAAAAATAATAATCTTGACCTAAACTTCACACCTTATATAAAAATTGACTCAAAATGGATCACAAGCTTAAATGTAAAATGTGAAACTATTAAACTTTTAGAAAAAAATAGAAGAAAATCTTTGGGATCTAGGGCTAATAAAAGAGTTATTATAATTGACACCAAAAGCATAACTCATTAAATGAAAATGTGATAAATTATAACTCATCAATTAAAAGTTTTTATTCAGCAAAAGGATCCTGTTAAGAGGATAAAAAAACCAAGTCACACAGTTAAAGAACATACTTACAAGCCACATATCTGACAAAAGACTGGTATCTAGAGTATATAACAAACTCTCCAGACCAAACAGTAAAAAAATCAAATAATCCAAGTAGAAAATGGACAAAAGATATGAATAGACATTTCACCAAAGAGGATCCACTGATGGCAAATAAACATGTGAAAAGATGTTCAACATCATTAGTCATCAGGGAAATGCAAATTAAAACCACAATGAGATATCACTTCACATCTGTCAGAAGGACTAAAATAAAAAGTAGTGACAACACCAAATTCTGGCAAGAATGCAGACAATCTGAATCACCCATACATTGCTAGTGGGCATGTAAAATGGCACAGTACTCTGGAAAAGAACTTGACAGTTTCTTAAAAAAGCAAAACAAAACAAAAAAACAACATGTAACTACCACATCACCCAACAACTGCACTCCTAGGCATTTATCCCAGAGGAATGAGACTTATATTCCTAAAAAGCCAGTACACTAATGTTCATGTCAGCTTTTTTCATAATATCCAAAAAACTGGAAACAACCTATATGTCCATCAACAGATGAATGATTAAATAAACCATTGTGCATCCACAATGCCATGGAATACTACTCAGAAATAAAAAAGAACAAACTATTGATGCATGTGACAACTTGGGTGGATCAGAAGGAATTATGCTGAATTTAAAAATCCAGTCCCCAAAAGTCACATATGTATGACTCTATCTGTACAACATTCTTGAAATGTCAAGATTATAGAAATAGAGAACAGATTAATTGTTGCTCAGAGTCAAGGAAAGGAGGAGAGTGGGTGTGGCTATACAAGGGCAACAGGAGGAATCCTTGTAGTGATAGAACTGTTCTGTATTTGACTGTAGCAATATTAATATCTTGGTTGTGATATTATACTATAGTACTGTTAAGATGTTATCATTGGATGAAATGATAAAAAGACCATACAGAATGTTGTGTATTATTTCTTACATACACATGTGACTCTACAATTATCTCAAAATAAAAAGTTTAATTTAAAAAATGAACAAACACTAGAGAGAAGCATAGTATACAGGCTCTAGAACTTGACTGTCTGAATTTTAATCCTGACTCAACCATTAACAAGTATGCAATTATGAGCAGATTACAAAATCTCTAAATGCTCTTGTTTTCTCATCTATAAAATGGGAATGAAAATAGTGTCTACCACACAGGGTTACTGTGAGGATAAATGACATGATGCTTGTAATGCACTGTCATCTTGCTAAACATAAGTAATTACATAATAAGTGGTAGCTATTATTAGTAATAGTAATGATTATATTATAACGATATTCAGAAGGCAAAGGTGTGCTGTTGGTTGTTCAACTTTCTAAGTTACAGAAATCTTTCTCTAACTGCTCCCTCAACTCGGTCACGTAGCTAACTTTAAAATATTCTAAAGCTATCCAAGCAAATGTCTTGTACATGATAAATAAAATAAAACACATACAAATTTTCAAATAAATAGGCTTACCTAACAGTTGAAGTATAAGGTATAAGGTTTTCAAACCCTCCTGATGACAGTTGTTGGTTCATAGTAAAGCCACTGGTGACTGTGGTAGCAGTGGTGGTGGTGACTGTGGTGGTGGCAGTCGTTGAAGTTGTAACTGGAAAATAAAGTGTATAACGTTAGTAAGAAATGAGAAATTTGTTTTATTTAAGCCATGATGATTCAGATTTAAAATTATGGAGGCATTTCTAAACATACAAATTTGAACTCAAAGTTGTGGATTTGAACTCAACACTGTTGTAATATGAAATAATATAAGGCAGGCCAGGTACCTGGATTAACTTTCCAGCTGAAAACTAAAACTCATGGATAAATTCATAGAAAAATAAAACTTGTAACCAGCCCAACAACTATGAAAGAAATCAAATCAATCCTCAAAATTCTTCTAATAAAGAAAATTCTAGTCCCAGATGCTATTGCTGGTAAGTTTTACTAAACTTTCAAGAAAAGAATAACTGCAATTTATAAAAGATCTCTGTAAATCTATATCTTTGCATACTTACATGACTGTACCTGTGTAATTAGTTCCTAGAAATAAAATTTATAGATCAAAGTGTCAGCATGCTCTAAATTTTAACACAACTTGCCAAATTGCCCTATCTAAATGATTTCACCAATTTATGTTCCTATCAATAGGAAAGAGTGCCTATTTCTCTGTACCACAGCCAATACTAGGCATACATTTTTGCAAACCCTAGGAAAAAGCCTCTCAAAGTTTTATCTACAGCCAAGACCTCTTTCCTATGTGTCTTTTTCGGTTACACCTCTATTAGAATGTCCTGCTCTCCATAGATAAAATCCTAAGCATACTTCATGGCTTGACTCAAATTCTTTGTTCCCCATATTTATCACCCACTTCTCTCCTACTTATAATTTTCTTTTGGTTTTCTGAACCTCTGTAGCACTTGTGGTTATTATTACACACTGAGCACTTAATGAACAATGCAGAGAAAATTGTGGCTGGTAGGGAGCTGGGAAGGTTTTATTTTCTTCTTTTTGGTTCTCTGTATTTTCAAATGTTCTTACAACTAGTAAATGCCACTTCTGTAACAAGAAATCTGTTATGAAAATATAACGTACGTGATTGCTTGTTTCATGTTAACCTGCTTTCCCAATTAGCAATATTTTCAGGTTAATGGCCACACTAGATAAATGCGTAAACCATGGTGCCTGCTTGCTACAAGCACTGACTACTCTGAGGGAGGTTAGCCTGAGGGAACACTCCTGCTGAGGGAACAAGCTCAAATACCCATTACTTGTCCAGAGAACTCTGTCCTTTTTGTTCCTGGTTCACAGTTGATTGGGCAGGATGGCCAAGTGAAGGATGGGAAGCCATCCAGTGTACTACTAGCAGCCCACCTGAGGGTCTGGCACAAAAAGCTCTAGCCAAACAGGATTCAGATGAGTCAGAATTTCATTTCCAAAAATGTAGCAATATGGAAAAAAAATCTGCTTCTAGGCAGGTACTGGGAAACATTTCCAAAAGTATAAAAGGAATCCAACTATAGACAGAGAGACTTGAAAGGACTGACAGAGGAAGGACATGAAGTAGAAGTAAGGGACCATGAGCAAGTCAAAATTAAGAATAAGGTAAAACAGAAAGGTAGAGAAAGAGATAAGGAAACCAATGAGAAGTTTTAAAAAAAGAAAAAGTAGACAAAGAGAGAATAACCAAATTACGCTTATGCAATATTTGATTTAGGGGGTCACTAAAACTGCCTTAATAATTCTTAAGGTCGAATTTCCTTGAGGTAAGTGTGTCATGTCAATGACTTTACTAGAATTTCACAAGACTCCATTTCCTTTTTGGCCACAAAAGTTCTTATGATAATTCCCCATTCTTTATGTTAGCCCTTCTCAGGGTGAAATGTGCACCACAGAGGAAGAACATGCCCAATCACAAAGCCCAGGAGTCATTATGGTTAGAACAATGGAGAGATTACAGATTGGATCTTGTGTGATATTCTTTATAACCATAAGTAATCATTTTATTCATCTGAGAACAAAAATCTTATCTGAAAGGAAATCTTTCCCCAGAAATGTTAAAAATTAATGATAATACCAATAGACTCCCTTTAGTGATTAATTCACCCAAACGCTGAGTAACTACTACATTCAAGACAGAAAAAAAAATTTTTTTAATGACCCCTTCTTGTAAAGGAGAGTATCTTTACCCAAAGATGGTTTTCTAATAAAGTAATCTGTATTTTGTAACATGGATAGATATTCTAAGATGTATAATTGGCCAGGCATGGTGGCTCACACCTGCAATCCCAGCAGTTTGGGAGGCAGAAGCAGTCAGATCACTGGAGCTCAAAAGTTCGAGACAAGCCTGGCCTATATGGTGAAACCCCGTCTCTATGAAAAATACAAAAATCAGCCAGATGTGGTGGCACACACCTGTGATTGAGGTACTCGAGAGGCTAAGTGGGTGATAGAGTGAGATTCTGTCTCAAAAAAATAAAAAAAGATGTATACTCAGGAGGAAACAGCAAATTCTAAGAATGTGTATACACACACACATACACAGAGTATGGTACCATTTTTGTAAAACAAATTTAAAGAATGTTCATATATGCTTAGAAAGAAGTCTAGATAGATAAGCAAACTGTTCTCTCTAGAGGTAGTGATATGTATACATGCATGTATGTATTGTTTTTACATATAAGCAGCCCAAACATAAAGGAATCCTGAGTCATTTTAAAATGGTATGATTGTTGTAACGTTTTATACAGTTTTATTTTTGTTATTTTTCATGCAATTTTTAAAGGCATAAATTAACTCTGGCATATTCAAATAATAATATTTCAATTAATACCAAAAAAAGGAATGGGTTTGAAAGTTCTATCACAGTCTGATTTTGCAAATTACAACTTTGGTTTTAACCAGTTAATACACTCAATACCATATTATCTGTGTAGTAAAAGGGAAATATGGTTCTAAAACTAATACAAAAAAACTACATACCAAATTTGAACTCACATTTCAATAAATCTCATTCTGATAGTCTTAAAAATCATTACATATAATAATGAAAATATCCCTTAAAATATCCTACTATCCAATTTTCCTATCCTGTCCCTGATCAACAATTCTGCATCTTATTCGATACTGGGAATGGACATCAACACCTTCCCAGACTATAAAATAAAAAATTTGCTGATTATACCTAGGGCACAGAGTAATCCCAAATGGCTGTAAATTTGCAGATACAGATGCTTGAAAGCTGCTCTGCAAGACTGCTTAGTGAGATAAAGAATCTGAATAAGCAAATACACTTGAAGAGAAAGAAAGGTAAGTAGAGGAAAAAAATCCCAAATTTGGGTTGAGAAAGATCCACAGGGATGAGAAAGACCTATCCCCATTAATTCAATTATCTCCCACCAGGTCCCTCCCACAACATGTGGGAATTATGGAAGCTACAATTCAAGATGAGATTTGGCTGAGGATACAGCCAAACCATATTATGGTGCTAAGGGATGGGCTAGTGGCAAAAGTAATATTTGTAGGAAGGAATTTGAGACATATAGAAAAGGGCCGGGTATGACAGAGTCATGAAAGAGCCTGCCAATTCCTATTTCAGTGATTCAACCCATGACTAAAAGAATCAGGGGTTTTTTTTTCCATTATTTTTCAGGAAAACAATGTGCTACATTTTTTGCAAATATGGTAACTTGCAATATTCTTATGACATACCCTTCACACGTCTCATATGTTGGCCAGTTAGCCTACTAAACAGTAGTAACTCAGATAGTTACGTAAAAGAAGAAATAAAGAGATGAGGCCAGGTGTGGTGGCTCATGCCTACAATCTGAACTTTTTGGGAGGACAAGGTGGAAGGATAGCTTGAGCCCAGGAATTTGAGACCAGCCTGGACAATGTAGTGAGACCTCATCTCTACTAAAAAAAAAAAAAAAAAAAAAAAAATCAGCCAGGCATGGTGGTACACGCCTGTAGTCCCAGGTATTCAGGAGGCTGAGGTGGGAGGATCACTCGAACCCATGAGTTTGAGACCAGTCTGGACAACGCAGTGAGACATCGTCTCTACTGAAAAAAAAAAAAAAAAATCAGTTGGCTACAGTGGTACATGCCTACAGTCCCAGGTGGGAGGATCACTTGAATCCAGGAGATTAGGCTGCAGTCAGCTATAATCACATCACTGCACTCTAACCTGGGTGACAAAGTGAGAGTGTATCTTAGAAAAAAAAAAAAAAAGAAAGAGATGTTTTACATCTCTGTTTAGGAATAATTATTTTAAGTTTAAAAGGGATTGACTTTTAAGCCAGATTAAAGAAAGATTCATTTCATCCCTAAGTAAACTTTTTAAAGTAAAAACAAACAAGTCTTCTCCAAAACTGAGTCTGACTTAAAAGATAGGTTTACGTATATGACCCCTTACCATCTAGTTCACAATTGCTATGGGCAATGGATAACCACAACTTAACTAGCTCCTAACTGGCAGAAACAAATTTAGAATAGGTCTAGGGAAACTCCTGTACTCAACTTTGAAGAGGGTCAATTTTAATAGAGGTCAAAACTTAAACTAACTTTTAGAAAAAAAGAAAAACAACAAATCTTCATTAATCTCAACCGGCTAAACACCGTGATCAATAACAAAAATGCTTAAGTTTCATGGTTGACAAGAATTTGGCAGCTTTTTTGCCTGTAGTCATCTCAAAGAAGTAACATCATCGATATCAACTGTCTCATTCTACTCTTTGGCAATCAGGTTTTTTTTTTTCTGCATATAATATAATTTTTTTTTCTTTTTTTATTGCATTTTAGGTTTTGGGGTACATGTGAAGAACATGCAAGATTGTTGCATAGGTACACACATGACAGTGTGGTTTTCTGCCTTCCGTCCCCTCACCTGTATCTGTCATTTCTCCCCATGCTATCTCTTCCCACCTTCCCACCCCCCTGTCCCTCCCCCATTTCCCCCCAACGGACCACTTACTACTTGTTATGAAGCACATTTCCAACAAGAGTCCCAAGACATTCCAATAATTCTAAAATCTTACTAACTGCAGTAAGAGCTGCTCCACCTGCTCCAGAAAATTTTAATGCAAATCCCAAAGTTATAATACCAAGTGTTCTTGCTGAAATTGTTGGAGCACCAACTGCAGAGAACAACATAATATTAACTATTACCCATTATTGCAAAAACAGTGAGAAATTTATATAGTCTTTTTCATCTGAAGAATCCTTTAGAAACCTTTGGTTAAACTTCAAAACACCATGGTCAATCCATTTATATGAAATGTCCAAAAAAGGCAAATCTATGGAGATGGAAAGCAGTTGTCTGTGGCTGAGGGATCTTATTGGAATGATGGAAATATCCTAAAACTAAATATGGTGATGGTTATACAATTCAGTAAACTTACTAAAATCATTGGATTGCATACTTAAAGTAAGTTAACTTTATGATCTGTAAGTTATAATTCCTTAAAGTTAATTAAAAAATATCGTGGTCCCGATATCTTTTCATTATGTAGGCAAGGACATCAGAAGAAGAAAAGTGGGGGAACCTGTCAAAAGTCAGAGAGCAACTTTTTGACTGAACATGGAATTAACTCAATAATTTTAACTCCAAACCTTGGACATGGTCACATTCATGAACTCTATCATAGTTGAGAAGGATACTGTTTACATATATCAAAAGGATTCCAGAATCATAGTCATGTCTCAAAACTGAAATCTAAGTGCTATGTAACTCCTGTCATAACCAATCTTAACTAATGCCTAACTACGCCAATAGCAGAAGAGGATGGTGATGGTTAATTGAGCACTATTCATTCTCAGTTAAGCATCAAGCATTTTCTGGCTATATTCCCAGAAATGGAGACAATCTTACTATCATAGAGCTGGGGGGAGGGGCTATTACAGCTAGGATTACAATACAACAAAATTTAATGATGAACACTATGACATTGTAAAGAAGATACCTTGAAATAAGTCAGTTTATAGAGATCTGTAAGAAAGAATTGCCTAAGGCACACAAAATTCAGTATTTTCTTTTCTTTCTTTCTTTCTTTTTAATTTAATTTAATTTTTTTTTTTTTTTTTTTTTTGAGACAGGGTTTTACTCTGTCACCCAGGCTGGAGTGCAGTGGTGCAATTTTGGCTCACTGCAGCCTTGACCTCCTGGGCTCAAGCAATCCTCCCACCTCAGCCTCCCCAGTAGCTGGGACTACAGGCATGCATCACTATGTCTGGCAATTTTTTATTATTTTCTGTAGAGACAGTGTTTCGTCATGTTGTCCAAGCTGGTCTCAAACTCCTAGGCTCAAGAAATCTGCCCGCCACAGCCTCCCAAAGTGCTGGGATTATAGACAATGAGCCCTGAGCCTGGCCTGAATTTAATATTTTCAACATTTGCTATTACTATACTAATGGAAAATGTGTAACCAAGAAGTTGGGGTTACAAGATAATATCTCACCTCTCAGCTGAAAGCACTCAGCTAGATAGTCCTCTTCAGGGGGAGAGGTCACAAGACACCACACAATGTCAATCAGAACCCCAAAACTACAGCTGGTCCTTGGTCATGTTCCACTTCTGATCAGTAAAATGTAAGGACCACAAACCAGGTCGATATTGAAAAATATACTACATCAAGGCTCCAATATTATTTCCCATTTTATCTTAGTCACATGGATAATAAGAGCTTCTTCCCTTCAGACATATTTGGCAAAATTCCCACTCTGTGTATTGTTAACAACTTAAAGAAGTTTTTTCAAAATAACACAATATTAATAAATTATATGCTTAAAGTTAGCATTTTAAGCTATAATAACCATGTTAATACAAAAAAAAAATTAACAGCTAAAGCCATGGCAATTAGGTTCTTAAGCAAAGCTACTACTGATATCAGCAATTATAAATGAGTTCAAGAATAATGATAATTTCTGAGATACTAGAGATCTGTAGCTTATCCTGGCAAATTGAGTAAGGTAGCCTCATGCGAAATAACAGTATTTCTTTGGAATTGGTAACTTACATGAGAGCCCAACACCAGCAATGGAGGTGAAAACATTTGATAATGAGGTAAACTGCATGGTACTTGAACTAGTGGTGGTACCAACAGTAGCTGCTGGAGCCAAACCTAAAATAAACACACACACAAAAGCAGAAAAATATGTCAGTAAAAATAATGTTTCAAAGTAAAACACCATTATAACAAGGTTCATTAATATGGAGAAATAAAAACAAAGCAAGGAAAAGCAGGTATTCTGAAACCTAATCAATAAGACAGAGTAAAAGCTTGGTTTAAAAAATAAAAATAAAATAAAAAAAAAAAAAACTTCTTTGGTACTACTTTAGTATAGCCAGTCTTCTAGCACCATCATAACAATGAAATTCTACTTTACTGAAAAAGTAGTCCTAAGACGGGGGATCCACTTCCAGAACTGCAGCATAAAAGTCTCATGGACCCATTCCCAAGTAAATCCATAGCCAGCAAAAAGCATTTTTTAAAAAATTGGAAATGGCTGAATATCGTTCTAAGATCCCATAGCAAATGAAGAAACATTTATTCAAGAAAATCTGCTAAACCTCAGTAATCTAACAATGACAGCCTATGGCATATGAGCCACAAAACACTCCTTTCCTTCCACCATCCCCTTGCTCACCTTGATGGAAGCTACTCTCCAGAGAGGGGTGGCCAAAACTGGACTCCCTCTGCCCCAGCTCCCAACCAAGGAATAGAGTATCCCAATGGGAGGGACAGGTAGCCAACATTTCTTACCACCTCCAACACAGAGATGAAAGGGTGAAATTCCTGTTCAGTACACCTAAGAGTTCAGGGGCTCCCTTCCTTTACTCACAGGTGGAGGTTCTACCCAAAGCAGAGAAGGCGGAGAATACTGAGGCCCCAATCACCCTCACCCTGATTGTCCCACCCCAGTTCACTTGCAGGGTAAAGGTCCACGCCTGAAGAGGTAAGCAAGAAGACCAGTGGCTAATGTCACTGCCCAGGACCCAAAGCACTGGCTGAACAATTCTGCTCAGGGATAAAGCCCATTCATGAGAACAGAGAGCTCTTAAGCCATCCCCAAAAGATCTGACTTCATTTGAAACAGTGTGAAGACATGCAAGCCCAAAACCTTACTCTATAAAATGGAGATTTGGGTGGTAAACAATCAAGAGGAAGCAGGTAGCTTTATGAGTATAACAATTTAGGGTGTAAGTTGGTTAGTTTATCAGAGATAACCAGGGAAAAAGAAAGCTGAAAAGAGCCATCCTGAAATCGGAAGAATTAAGTACTGATATACGCTAAAACATGGATGAATCTTGAAAACATTATGCTAAATGAAAGAAGTCAGACCAAAAAAAAAAAAATAAAGTCTCATATTGTGAAATTCTATTTCTATGAAATATCCAGAACAGGCAAATCCATAGACAGAAAGTATGTTAGTGATTCCCAGGGGTTGGAAGGAAGGGGTAATGAGGAGTGACTGTTAATGGGTACAGGGGTTTTTGGAGGGTGATGAAAATGTTCTCAAATTACGCAGCGGTGATCGTTGTACACTCTGTGACTATATTTAAAATCATTGAATTGTATACTTTAAAATAATGAATTTTAAGATATGTGAATTATACCTCAATTATGCTATTATTTAAAGAACACATTATCATCTCAATTGAGTCAGAAAAAGGCATTTGATAAAATCCAATACCCTTTTGTGGCAAAAACACTCAACAAATTAGGAAGAAAAGGGAGCTTCCTAAACAGGATAAAGGGCACTAACGAATAATCTACAGTAACATCACACTTAATGGTGAAAGACTAAATACTTTCCCACTACCATCAGAAAGAAAACAAGGATGTCTGCTCTAACCACTTTGATTAAACAATACATTGAAAATTCTAGCCAGGATAGTAGGCAGGAGAAAGAAATAAAAGGCATGAGAATTGAAAAGAAAGAAGTAAAACTATCTCTATTGATAGACGACATGATCATAAATACAGAATATTCTAAGAAATCCATTAAAAAATCTATTAGAACAATAAACAAGTTGAGCAAGGTTGCAAGACACAAGATTCATATGTAAAAATAAATTACATTTATATATTATAACGATGAACAAAACAAAATGAAACAATATAAAAATGAAAGGAAGTAAGAATATAATTCCATTTAAGGTTGCTCAAAAAGAATCAAATACTTAAGGACAATTTTTAAGGTACATGATATACACAAAAATATGAAACATCATTAAAAGAAATTAAAGACATTCTAAATAAATAAAAAGATCTCATGTTGATGGATTAAAAGACTTAATATTGTTAAGATAGTGTGATAGAAAGAAAACTGGTCCCCAAAGATGGCCTAATATCCAGAACCTGTGAACATACTGCCTTACTTGATAAAAGGGACTTTACAGATGGGATTAAGGTTAAATACCTTGAGATTATCCTGAATTATCCAGGTGAGAAAATTTAATGACAGCAATCCTTTAAAGTAGAGAACATTTCCAGGATGTTATCAGAGGTAGAAGTGACTATAAAACAATGATCAGAAAGATTCAAAATTGCTTATACAAATGGCCAATAAAGCACATGAATACATGCTCAATATTCTTAGACATTAGAGAACTGCAAATCAAAGCCACAGTGAGATACTACATTATACCCATTAGGATGGCTATAATCAAAAAGATAGATCAAGTGTTGAGAATGTGGAGAAATTAGAAATCTCATACACTGCTGTTGGAAATGCAAAATGTTGCACCTCTTTGGAAAACTATCTGGCATTTCCTCAACGGGCTTACATAGTGTTACCATATAACCCAGCAATTCTACTCTTAGGTATATATATGCCAAAAACAGATGAAACATATAGTCACACAAAAACATATACATGAATATTCATAGCAGTATTATTCAAAATAGACAAAAGGTAGAAACAACCCAAATGCCTATTGACTGATGAATGGATGAATAAAATACAGTATACCGATACAATAGAATTGTATTTACCATAAAAGAAAAAGTAGTAATACATGCTGCCACATGAATGAGCTTTGAAAACACGCTAAGTGAAAGAAGCTAGTCACAAAAGACTGAATAATATATGATTCCATTTATTAAAAATGTATCATTCCGTTACAGAGACAAAATGTAGGTTAGTGGTTGCCAAGGAATGGGGAAAGGAGGAATGGGCAATGACTGCTAATGAGTAGACAGTTTCTTTTGGGGATAATGAAAATATTCTAATATGGCCTGCTGTAATGGTTGCATAGCTCTGTGAACCACTGAACTGTACATTTTAAACAGGTGAACTGTACAGTATGTGAATAACAAATGGAGGCCTGGAATAAATTTTCACAAAACAGATTACCTGCTTCTTTAAAAATAAAACTATAAAACTGGAGAAATTAATGCATAAAGACACAAATAAGATTAATGAGTTACTTGAAAGCAAAGTTCGTATCTTTTTATCCTCACTATAGATCAAGGTACATGGCACATAAGAGTAATTGTTCAATAAATGTTTCTGCTGAATTGAACCAACTTTTTCTAGACTCTAATACATAATTACAGATATTCTATTTCACCTTTAAAAGGAAAAGTGCTTAATAAGTAGCTGCACTTGCATCTATTACTGCCTGCATTCAACTGTTGAGCATCAATGGTGACAAATGATGTAAGACTCTGCTGTCCAAAATATCTGGGTCCTCTGGGGGTGAAAGGGACAGAGAGGAGATGTGGGGAAGGAATTGGAAACTTTACCACATACGAAAATGACAGAATTTATACAGTGCAATATCTCCCGCTTCATTTAGGAGAAGAACCATATGCATACACTTAAAAAAATAACCAATTATATAGCAAAGGCATTTAAATTTACAATTCATTACCTATCTGAGGTGGAATTTTAAAAATGGGTTTCATTGCTACTTCAATTTTTGCATTTGAAATTGCATATTCATGTCATCTGCCCATTTTTCATCAAAAATACTGTGTTATTACTGACATTTTAAATTTTTATTTTAAAATTACATAGATATATTGCATAATGGGGGTTGGGCTTCTACTGTACCTATCACTCAAATAGTGAACACTGTACCCAACAGGTAATTTTTCAGCCTTTACTCTCACCCCCAACTCTCTCCTTTTGGAGTCCCTAGTGTTTATTATTTTCATCTTAATGTCCATGTATAACCACTGTTTTGTTCCTACTTATAAATGAGAACATGCAATATTTGATTGGCTATTTCTGAGTTACTTCACTTAGGCCTCTGGCTCCACCCACGATATTACAAAGGACATGATTTCATTCTTTTTTATGGTTGCATAGTCCAACCACTTATGGACATTTAGGTTGATTTCATGACTTTGCCATTGTGAACAGTGTGGCAATAAACATACAAATGCAGATGTCTTTTTTATATACTGGTTTCTTTTCCTTTGGGTAGATATCCAGCAGTGGGACTGCTAAGTCTAAAGGTAGTTCTATTTCTAATTCTCTGAGAAATCTCCATATTGTCTCCCATAGAAATTGAGATAATTTACATTCCCACAAATGCTATCACTGATTTTTAATAAAAGTGTATATCAAAGCTATTTATTTTGTCATATGTTGCAATAATTCCTCTACTGCAGTTTGCCATTTAGTTTTTATTATATTTTTTATGTAGTCAAGTCTTTCCGTCGTTTTTTCCTCTGGTCTATTTCTTCATATCATAGTCTATGTCTTTATATCATGTTTAAAAAGATTTTTCTCTTAAACATATGAAAAGGTGTTCAACCTCATTTTTAAGAGAAAATTACAAATTATAACTACATTGAGAATAATTTCATTTAACAAATGGTAAGAAGCCAAAAACTAAACACATTCTGTTAATGACACTGTAATGAAGCAGGTAGCCTCACAGGTTCCTATTGAGAAACAAGTGATCAGTGTTTTAAAAAGTACAAATGCATCTATCTTTTGAACCAGCAATACTTTTTCTGAAAATTTATCCACAAAAATATACTTGCATACTTGTAAAATGACAGGTAAAATGATATCCATTGCATCACTGTATTAGTAAAGGATTATATAAACAACCCAAATGCCAATCAGGAAGGGGCTGGATATATATAAATTATAGCACATC